AATCATCAAACTCATGGTCTATTCAGTTTCAGCTACAAAATCAGACTTATATCTGAGAATTAAAAGTTGTAAAAACAGTAAGTCGCTGGACTAAGATTGATATAAATCTAAAAAATTCAGTTAATTCAAATTATAGCTTTTAACATTCATTGAATATTATAATTATTGAAAATATTAATCATGAAAATAAAGAATTAATTGATTATTTATAGATTTATATTGTAAAACAATCCGCATTTTGTTCTACAATTAACTAAAATATATTATACTGCATGATCGCTGTAACAGTTAATAAGAACAATGCAGGAAACCTACACAATAGTGTTACGCAAGTCGATAGACTAAGAACAGTGAAAAAACTGAAGTAAATAAATTGATTCTAATGCAGCCATGTTAATATAAACCAAAACATTATTAACATGAAGGTCTCAAGCCCTTATGAATGCAGAAAGGAAATTGGTTTTCTATAATAAAATAATAACTAAGAATTATTCACAAATGTTATATTACAAATTATAATTAATAATTGTAATAAAAAGTTCGCAATAATTAAATAAATAGTTAAATGCACATATATACATATATATAACCACATATTACACCATCAACTACTATGTATTATATACATGTATACACATAATAAATTGAAGCAGAACTGGTGTAAATTAAAAATATTTATCTTCTTAAATGGATTTGAGGTAAATTTCATGTTTTCTCACAGTATCAAACTTTGCTCATTTCTTATTTGCAGGATAGTCAACTATTATATGTAACAAATTTCTATACACCGTTTCTTTACATAACATTCAACATTTATAAATAAACAATAAAAGTGAAAAATTAAATGGCTAATTACAAATGGGAGAATTGAAACTCCACATTTCTTTGATCGCGTATATTGTTAAATTATATAGTTAACTTAGGGGTAGTTGCCTATCGTTCCGATCGCTCAAACTTTTTACACCAGTTCTTTAAATGACATTCAATAATGTTCTGCAAAAAAATTTAAATATCAAGTGGCTAATAACAAATGGCAGGCCAAAAACTTTTTACACCAGTTCTTTACATGACATTCAATAATGTTATGCAAAAAAATTTAAATATCAAGTGGCTAATAACAAATGGCAGGCCAAAAACTGCGTATTCCCTATATGTGATTAGTTGTTAAATTAACTTAGGGGTAGTTGCGTATCGTTCCGATAGCTCAAACTTTTTACACCAGTTCTTTACATGACATTCAACAATGTCATGCAAAAAAATTTAAATATCGAGTGGCTAATAACAAATGGCAGCCCAAAAACTGCGTATTCCCTATATGTGATTAGTTGTTAAATGAACTTAGGGGTAGTTCCATATCGTTACGCGCGCTCAAATTTCGTAAACCAGTTCTTTACATGACATTCAACAATAATATACAAAAAAATTTAAATATCGAAAGGCTAATAACAAATGGCAGCCCAAAAACTGCGTATTCCCTATATGTGATTAGTTGTTAAATTAACTTAGGGGTAGTTCCATATCGTTCCGCGCACTCAAACTTCGTAAACCAGTTCTTTACATGACATTCAACAATAATATACAAAAAAATTTAAATATCGAAAGGCTAATAACAAATGGCAGCCCAAAAACTGCGTATTCCCTATATGTGATTAGTTGTTAAATTAACTTAGGGGTAGTTGCGTACCGTTCCGATCGCTCAAACTTTTTACACCAGTTCTTTACATGACATTCAACAATTTTATGCAAAAAAACTAAAAAAAGGAGTGGCTAATAACAAATGGAGGCGTAAATACAACAAATTTCCTTGATCGCGTATATTGTTAATTAAACTTAGGGGTAGTTGCGTATCGTTCCGATCGCTCCAACTTTTTACACCAGTTCTTTACATGACATTCAACAATAATATACAAAAAAATTTGAATATCGAGAGGCTAATAACAAATGGCAGCCCAAAAACTGCGTATTCTCTATATGAAATTAGTTGTTAAATGAACTTAGGGGTAGTTCCATATCGTTACGCGCGCTCAAACTTCGTAAACCAGTTCTTTACAAGACATTCAACAATGTTATGCAAAAAAACTAAAAAAAGGAGTGGCTAATAACAAATGGAGGCGTAAATACAACGAATTTCCTAGATCGCGTATATTGTTAATTAAACTTAGGGGTAGTTGCGTATCGTTCCGATCGCTCAAACTTTTTACACCAGTTCTTTACATGATATTCAACAATAATATACAAAAAAATTTAAATATCGAGTGGCTAATAACAAATGGCAGCCCAAAAACTGCGTATTCTCTATATGTAATTAGTTGTTAAATTAACTTAGGGGTAGTTGCGTACCGTTCCGATCGCTCAAACTTTTTACACCAGTTCTTTACATGACATTCAACAATGTTATGCAAAAAAACTAAAAAAAGGAGTGGCTAATAACAAATGGAGGCGTAAATACAACGAATTTCCTAGATCGCGTATATTGTTAATTAAACTTAGGGGTAGTTGCGTATCGTTCCGATCGCTCAAACTTTTTACACCAGTTCTTTACATGACATTCAATAATGTTATGCAAAAAAATTCAAATATCGAGTAGCTAATAACAAACGGCAGCCTAAAAACTGCGTATTCCCTATATGTGATTAGTTGTTAAATTAACTTAGGGGTAGTTGCGTACCGTTCTGATCGCTCAAACTTCGTAAACCAGTTCTTTACATGACATTCAACAATGTTATGCAAAAAAACGAAAAAAAGGAGTGGCTAATAACAAATGGAGGCGTAAATACAACGAATTTCCTTGATCGCGTATATTGTTAATCAAACTTAGGGGTAGTTGCGTATCGTTCTGATCGCTCAAACTTTTTACAGCAGTTCTTTACATGACATTCAACAATAATATACAAAAAAATTTAAATATCGAGTGGCTAGTAACAAATGGCAGCCCAAAAACTGCGTATTCCCTATGTGATTAGTTGTTAAATTAACTTAGGGGTAGTTGTGTATCGTTCCGCGCGCTCAAACTTTTTACACCAGTTCTTTACATGACATTCAATAGTTATGCAAAAAAATTCAAATATCGAGTAGCTAATAACAAACGGCAGCCTAAAAACTGCGTATTCCCTATATGTTATTTGTTGTTAAATTAACTTAGGGGTAGTGGCGTATCGTTCCGATCGCTCAAACTTCATACACCAATTCCTTACATGACAATAAATAATTATATGCGAAAATATAAAACAATTTAGGGGCTAATAACAAATTAGAGCTAAAAGATATCAATTTTGCTTACTTACCTATTTAAATGAAATTAGGGGTGGTTCGGGGTAGTTCGAAGCGCTCAAAATTTTCACTCATGATTTTACATAAGAATAAATAATTATTGTTAAAAATAATTAATTATTTTGATCTAAAAAACATATAGCAATATTCGACCTTGCCTTAATTTTTAAGGGTAGTTTTTAGAGGGTGGTAGGTGATTCCAATAATTTTGTTTTGGCTTTTTATCATTTTTGTATTGAATTTCAGCGATTAATTTTTATAAGAAGGCATTTTTCTAAATTTCGTTTTTTTCATTCAAGTTGAATGTTCCAAACTTCAAATTCATAGGAATCAAACAAAAAATCAAAAATATTGAAAAACTGCCTGAAACTGAATAATAAACTATTTCAATTTCAAATAAATCTATTACTTCTTGTAATTAAGATAGCTTCACTGTGAAGGGCTGTATCAAATTTTGGCTCTATTAAGGATTCCATAAAATTGATATCTTTCCAACCGAAACATTTATCAAAAATTGTTTTATATTCAACTACTTGTTTACAAATGAACTAATTCACAATCAATAGTCCAAAAATAAAGAATAAATTTTTTCCATGCTGCTAATTTCAGGATTTTGTCTCTAAAACGCGACACTTTGTCTGTTATTCTTCAATACCTCCTCTATTAGTTTGATACTACTACTATTCTTTTTAGATATCGATTTATTAATTACATACATTTTAAAGAATTTGTGTTGAAGTTATCAAATGTGAATATGCAATCCTGCCTTCCTATATCAAGGATGTATAATGATTTAATTTTATTACTTGATTTTTATTTATTTAGGTCGATAACCCTCATTTAATTTCTCAGATTACGAAAGCTATTACAAAATATTATCTATATAAAAATTAAGGTGTGAAACTGTTGTAAAATAACAATTTTGATGGAGTCATCATATAAAAAGTTAAAATAAAAAATAAAAAATTTATGAAGCAACCTGTTATTTTTATACGATACTTGTATATTGAATTTTGATTAAAAATTCAAGTTGGCGTAATAAATTCTAATAATTTTTACAAGCAAAAGTTACTACAGAAATGAAATAATCCTAGTGTTTTTTCTTCTCTAAAAATTGTTGACATGAGTAAAAAATTGAAAACTAACACAAATTACTATCTATAGGTACTTTGAAATTTTCTCGTAAAATAAAATAAATATTTATTATCTAATCTACTGGTTAAGGAAATATTCTTTGTGTGATGCTAATAATGAACAAGATTTCAAATTCAAATAAATAATACTAATGACTTCCCTTGAAATATTATATAGTATGTAAGCTTTATTAACTAGTATGCACAAGAGTTTCAGCTGTTGTGGACTATAATCTACGGTTTTCTTCATGCTAAAATCATTATATTTTTTTTATAATTTCACGCAAATCAAATTATAACAAACAAAAAATAAGATAATTGACATTCTTCTCCTACATGCATATATTAATTTGTTTGAACTATTTGAACTTTAAATCTTATAAATCATACAGTTGAATTTACATATTTTTAATATTTATATATCTTCATTCCTTACCACTAATATTATTAATCGCAAACATGTATAAATTATTTCTCTAAATTCTCATTTTACATCCTACAAAGAACTTGATTTTTCAAAGTCAATATAATTTTCCAACAGCAATATATTGTTATTCATGTTATCGAAATACATAGTTCATACAAATTAGCACATACCCAGTTGAAACAAGAATCCAAGAATAACCAGAGTAGATAATTCCATTTTTCAATAAAATTATTACAATTCCAAATGGTAACTTAAACACTTGCGTGTGTTTTAATTATATACCGAGTTAGTCTGTTTGTGAAATGATAACCATTTGATGTTGAATGTGCTGTAAGTAGGCTCATTTTTTTTAACACTTCCGTTCACACTGCACAATTATCTACTTGTCTAATTGCCGTGAAAATCATGACAAGATAATTTCAACTAAAAGGACAATTAATTCAATGCTACTGACTTACCAAACAATTTTTAATAATAGTAAGTATTATTGAGAGGGTGACTACTATATAGTACACTACGCCATCTTATTTAGCACTAGGCCATATACAACACGAAAAAATGGTTATTATGATTCTATGAATCGCACACCTCATGCGAAAAGAAAATTTCTAAAAATATCGAAAATTTCGCTCAATAGTCGCTCATTATGAATACATACTTATGAAATTTGTGCAATATTTATTGATTCTGTAACTAAATAAATAAAGTCTAGTGTCGTAATAACTTCGATTCCGAAAGAATCTAATAACATGAAAATTGATTTTCATAATGATTTTCAAGATCATATGAAGGTTGCTTTTTTTAATAACTCATATATAATAAAAAAAATAATGATAATAAAAACAATATTAAACAAACTGAAAAAAAGCAAATCGGAATAAATACTTGTCCCCTCCACGTCACGGTTATTCCTAGGTAATGAAAAGATCGAATTTATAATTATATAAATACTGTTCGCATAAAACATTACAAAAACATTTTGTTAGGCATTGAAAAGAAAAACTAAAAATTTCTATTCCTCTCCGTAAGATAAGAAAGAAATAAAAGTAATAATGTTCTGTCGTAACAATGTTTCCATGTACGCGCGCGTTTTAATTTACATGAAAGCGACGAAAAAGCCGGTAGCACCACCTTTTGTCTTGTACTTTCGTTGGCGTTCTTTTCAGCGAAGCAAGTGTCGATGAGGTTGGTTTTTTGGAGGGAAGAAAGTAGTGCCACCGTAATCGCGATCGAGAGCGGTCGCACGTGTGCAACGATCATTTTAGTGAAATTCAACTGAACTACAAAAGACGCAAACCAATGTATTGCACAAATCATTAACTAACAGCTAGTCGTATTCCCGCGGCTAATAATCTATCTTAACTTTAACCGACAAACACCGTATTCCAGCGGTTGATACGTAACAACTTAACATAACTTCGTAGTCAACCACGTTGACAGGGCTATATGCCACCGATAGTCAATGGCATTTAAATACGAGAATTTTAAGCTCGTATGTTTAAACTAACCTCGTCGTTTCTCTTTTATTATAATTTTTTGTTGAGCCCATGTGTGCGTCATTTTGTGCGTCATCGTTATATGACTACCCTATTGTTTTGTTCATCTTCAATTGACATATTTTTCTTAATTTTCTAAATAAATTGAGTTTTTTATGCCTTGAAGGCTTTTTGCCATAAGTGCGCGTTAATAATTTTTTAATGTCTTCTCAACTTTCCTAACATCCTAATACGTAAACTAAATAAAATTGCTTGCATACCACCAGCGGTATGTAAGAAGTTTCACGTCCCGATTAGCACAAAACGTTTTAAAAACGTTTTCTGGTAAACTTTTAAACGTTGATGACTTTTAGTGAAAAAAACGTTTTTAAAACGTAATATCTGTACGCGAGTAATACATTTTGAAAACGCTTCAAAAACGTTTTAAAAATGTTTTTCATAAAAATTTATACAATAGGCCTGTATCACAAAACATTTTGAAAATGATTTAAAAAAGTTTTTAAACATTTTCAAAACATTTTAAAACAGGTGTCACAACGTTTTATCGAAAATTTTCTATAATAGACTGGTATCAGAATATGTTTTAAAAACGTTTCGAAAATGTTTTGAAAATGTTTTAAAAATGTTTTCCCAAAAAAATATATACAGTAGGCTGGTATCACAATACGTTTATAAAACGTATTCAAAACGTATTACTCGCTAACATATATTACGTTTTAAAAACGTTTTAATAACGTTTTTTTCAATAAAAGTCATCAACGTTTAAAAGTTTTCCAGAAAACGTTTTTGAAACGTTCTTAAAACGTTTTTGTGTTATTGGGAGTTAGAACAATAATGAATGAGAAACATGAGTTGAAAATGGTCAATTATTGATGAACAAATTGTATAGACTAATCAATTTGGTAAACCTAATGTCAATTTCAACTTCATAATTAAATTAATGTTGCATGCAATTCATTAATTAATTTATTATAAAAATTAAGAGGTTTATTCAAATCATAAAATTTATTTCATTTGAAACTTTAATAGCACTTTTCCAAAAAAAAAAAAAACATTTTTATGACTGAAAATTTTTATGAAGATCAAGTTTCTTGTCATTATTAGATCAGGACTGGGCAAATCTGGAAGAGATTCTCAAAAGGCCTGCCTAACTATCAGGTTACTGGCTAAGCCAATCCATAAAAAAATACAAGATTCTATAGGATGATCAAATTAAGGTGTTACGTCTACACCGAATGACGTTTAGGCGCGAAGTTTAAAACGGATAGGTAGTGTTTTAGGATTAAGTCCGAGAGCTACGAACGTATGTGATAGATAGAACGAAGATAAAAAGATAGCAATTTGCGTGCGTTCAGTAGTTGATAGTTTAAGTATATTCTTACCTTGTGTTTCGTTGCATCTAAATACCATCGGCGGCATTTAACGCTTATTAATATTGGAAATTAAAATTAAGTTTTTTATTCAAAAGAGGATTGAATGAAAACATCACGCGTAAAGGGAAAAAGCCAACCGGCATATAAAACCCTTTTTTATTGAAATACAAAAATTAACACTACAAATTATACTTTAACGTTCGATTCGCACAACAATGACGCTAGAGAAATTTTGCACGTTGGCTACGCTGCCGGTACAAATGAGAGAGACAAAGGCATCTGAGCCTATTGTCTCCTCGGTAGATTTTTAACACTTGTATTAATTGCGCAATAATGCACCTTCCAAGCTAGCCGGAATTATCACCGTCGTGGACGGGAAAGAGATTCGCAGACGAATCGGTAGATGATATTCGCTTATCAGGCGAAATCGCAGTAACGCGAGAACGACGGTTGTTATTACACAAAAATATACGTAGGAGCTCCGCACGGGACAATCATTTTTCGAAGAATGACGTTCCCTCCTATTCGTAAAAAGAAAGGAACGGAATCATCCTTAGATGGCGTTCGCGTTTGGCAAAGTGCTGTCACTCAACTCATTTGTTAGAGAATTATTGTTGCTCGCTAAGAAGACAAGCTGCTTGTCACAGATGTAGCACGTGGTACTGTATTTCATTATTTGTTTAATTTTTGTTAAATTGTACGTTATCGATCTTGTTAATTTGTTGATTTTCCATGCTGTTGTTTGTTAACGATTAAAATATTTAATTTTAATTTTAATGATTGATTAAAAAAAATTAAACAAAATTAAAAAAAAATTTAATTATTGATATCCGTTGATGCATAACTCCGAGACACTTGAATTCACTGCAGCACGATGCAAGAGAGAGAACCGTTCGCGCAGACTTCACTAGCCATACTAACTATGAGCCAGCAAAAATACGGGAAAAGCGCTCAGTAATTGGCACCACCTCTCGCCACGGTCATATGCACTCGTCAACGCATTCACACTCGCGTGCACCCGATTGGTATTGTGACGACGGAATATCTTCATAATCCGCCGCCTAAAAGTTTCTGGCCGCGGTCGCGACTCACTCGCTTTCGGTCGTTTCAGTTACCTTGCTAAGGGCATTTTGTTACTTGCCTACCCTAACATAAACAAGTCAGCAGATGAGAATGTCTCTTGTTTACCCAAATGAAATCAACATACCCGATCCGTGCTTCTCAGCAGCGATGACTGGTGCGAACACGCAACACAAGGTCTTAATCGCCGCCTATACGAGGGGGAGTTAATAAGTCTTTACAAAAAAAAGAGGAAAAAAAGTTTTGCGTATGTAATTTTTTTTTTATTTTTCAACATGATCTCCTTGAAGGTCGATACATTTTATTAAACGGCCTTCCAGTTTTTTAAGCCATCAAAAAAATATGATTTCTGAAAACCCTCAAAATAGGCATTTGTTTCTGCGATGACTTCTTCATTCGACGTGAATCGTTATCCGGCAAGTCATTTTTTAAGATTAGGAAATAAGAAAAAGTCACTGGGAGCCAAATCAGGCGAACATGGTGGATGGTCAATTAATTCGAACTTTAAATCGTTAATTTTTGCCATCGAAACTGCACACGTGTGAACTCGAGCAATTTTGTTCAAATGAGGACGTTTTTCTCTGATATTTTCTTTCAGCTAACCTAATAATGACGCATAATATTGTCCAGTGATAGTCTGGCCCTTTTCCAAGTAGTCGATGTAGATGATTCCATACGCATCCCAGAAAACCGTGGCCATAATCTTGCCAGCTGACTTTACTGTCTTTGCCTTCTTTGGAGCTGGTTCTCCTGAGGTAATCCATTGTTTGGACTGTTCTTTGGTTTCAGGAGTGTAATGGTGTACCCATGTTTCATCTACAGTTACGAGTTGACGCCAAAAGTCATCCGGATTACAACGTATGCGTGCTAAAAGAGCCTCAGAGGTGACCACGCCGGTTCGTTTGTTTTCAACAGTGAGCAAACGCGGCACCCATTTTGCTGATATTTTTTTCATTCCCAATTTTTCATGCAAAATTGAAATGATTGTACCCTTTGATACCGCTGTGGCCTCAACTAATTTTCGCAATTTTAATCTTCTATCGCTCAACACCATATCGTGGATTTTGTTGACCATTTCGGGCGTACTCACTTCTACGGGGTGTCCTGAACGAGATTCATCTTTTGTTGTTGTACGGCCGCGTTTAAATTCATTTACCCAGTTATAGACAGTCTTAAATACAGGGGCAGACTTGCCATGAACGGCGTTCAACTCAACTGTGATTTCTTTTGGCCTTACACGTTGAATCACAGATTCAATGTGTAAGGCCGTTCAAATAAAAATGTTTTATCACCGCTCGAAACTCTGTTTTTTCCATTTTTCAAATAAACCAATAACTTTTTGTTCAACCAACGCTCACAAAAAAACGACTTAATGAATCGGGCTGAAACTTTGTACGATATCTAGTTAGTAGTATTGCTTGCCAAAAACATCATAATTTAAGCGTGACGAGCGCCATCTCTTGGATTTTGTAAAGACTTATTGACCCCCCCCCGTAAACAGGTTCAACCGACGTACCTTCAAATTAAAAATTCCACGTAGTTAAAAGTAGTAATGCGATTCTCGCACCTCACCTATCCGTTGTACACACTCATCCAACATTCACTAACACACAATAGCCTTGCACAATAGCTCGTGCTAATCTCAATATAAACAAAAGTAACCTTAGCCTCTGTCAGCTTCATCGACTCCGAGGTTCGACGTAACACAAGTCTAGCGACACAGTCGACATAGCAAATAAAACAATATCAAGAAAAAAGATAAAAATAATTTTTTTAATACATCCTAGCGTTTCGTCGGAACTCAACCGCAATTCAGCGAATTTGCTGAAACAAAGAGGACAACAAATGCCCCGTGCTCCTCACATCACAACTCAAAACACCAATCTTACTAAATACCTTCCCGATCACCTCGACCTCCAGCCAAACAAAGCAACGCGAAAGATTCTCTTACCGAAATAGCACAAGGGATACCATGGAAGGGGAAACGATAAGCTACCGTGCGCCACAACTATACCCCTCGAGTTAAGGGGTCCTATTCCAGTTAAGAAAACCTTTCACAAGCCCAAACTTCCCATAAATGGCGAGGTGGATCAAGGAGAGATGTTAAATAAACAGGCGAGATTTTCACAAACATACAAAAGGGCAATCACATGATTTGCTTCATCAGATTATTACATAGATTTACGTGAACCACAAAGTTATAATAAGAAAGTGAACGTATTCGCTCAACCTGCGAAGTTGCAACAATAAAAGTGGAAACTGCGTTATCGAGGTAGTTCAGCGCTATCGACGCGAGTAACGAAAGCACTGGTTTTGAACCCGAACGAGAGCTGGCGAGAAAGAGAGAGAGAGAGAGAGAGAGAGAGAGAGAGAGAGAAAATAATAGCTCGTGAGAGCAACGCACCGGGCTCCTGCTTCCGCCGCTTGCTGGTGGAGGTCTGCCTCCGACGGAAGCGCGATCTAACCGGCAACGGCGTCCGGGGAATGAGAACGGTGGACCTGCTAATAGCAGGTGATCGTCCTCATCCTGATGGCCGAAAATGGCGGCAATCTATGGTTGGCCGCAAGTGACGACCAAACAACGCTTAGGGCAAGCTCTACCTTAACGATCACCGGGTTAACCGTAGATGTCGGCTAAGTAGCTCCGTACGCCCTCGTGTGCACACTCTCGGTCACTTCCTAGGTTCATTCATGTCACTCTCTCACTCTATTATTTGACCTCTTACTGCCACTGTCAGTGAACAGGCTTACTCTCTGTTTTTTCTTTCCGTGTCGCGTTATACCCCCACCTTTGAATCGCTAATTGCTCTTTCGTCCTCTATCTCGCTCTTCTTCCTCTCACTCCTTAGCGGCCCTCTCCGTCGACCGCATTTTTCCTCTCCAACTCCTGTATCGACACACGTCTGAGTGCTATGTTAACATAGCCACGTTCGGTCGCTACATTCGTGCGGGGAGAGGCCCCACACAGGACCAGCGAACATCGCTGTCAACGTTGTCACAAGCAATAGTAGTATCGTAGTTTAAATTGAAGTGAGCATTCTCAAAAGTTACGAGATCATTATCAAATCACGTGATTCTGATTAGTTTCATTATTACTTCGCAATATTCCAATCCTAAATAAGCAGCAATGGATTCAACATAACTTATAAAAAATCGACAGTTTTAAATAATAAAAAGTACCGGGGAAAAATAATCAATAAAATTATGTTTTATTTGTGGAAATTAATCGTTTTAATATTTACAGTTTTAGTAAACAATAAAAAAATATTACAAAATTTGAACATTGAACAAGAATACAGTTTTTTTTTATTTATTATAAGGGATATAATCCCTTATGAATATAAAGATAATAAGTTTTATTTTTGGTTATGTATAAAATATTTTATGTAATCATAATGTATAGAAAATATTAGAAAAATTCTAAAAACTGATAAGTTAGTAGCTGTAAAAATGAAATCTATTTATTTTTTAATGAATACTATATAAAATCTACAGAACGTATGTTTTAATTTATTAAGCTTTTTTATGTGAATCAAAGAAGTGAACTTAAATATTTAGTAGTAGATACAAACTTAAATCAGATTAGTATTCATTTTGAATGATTAACTTTCTCTTACATACATACACTTCGCAACAAAATTAACCAAACACCTAATTCTGATTGAGAAAGGGTACAACTTCGAAAATCGATATCTCAGATAAAAAATAACGTTATAAAATCAATTTTTTTTAAATTAAAGGCTAAAGTCTCTACTGTAAGATGATGTAATTCGATTTAACCCAACCTCTACTTACATGATCTTGAAATTCAAGATCATTTTTTAAAGCTCACAAATCGTGAACTTTCGCAGTTCGCCCGCGCGTGGGTGACTTTTTTCTATAATTCTAATTATTGCATCTTAAGAGGGTATCCTGCTTGAGAACGTTCAAAAAATCGATTTTTTTTATTGCTTAAATCTATTCCTTATATGCATAAAGAATCATGCTCTTCAAATCACGATGGTTCAGCAGGGAAGATGGAGGTAGATTCAATCGTGGAGATGTTCTTGAGATCTATTAAAAATTTTGGAGTAAAGTATACGAATTACACCGGCGACGGTGATTCGAAAACTTTCAATGGTATTGTAAAAATGAATCCATATGGTGATGATTACCCTGTGACAAAAAATGAGTGCGTGGAACACGTACAAAAGCGCATGGGTACTCTACTCCAAAATAAAAGGAAGGAAGAGAAGCTTGGAGGAAAAAAGCGTCTAACAGAGAGTCTCATCAAAAAGTTGACAATATATTATGGTTTAGCAATTCGAAGGAATATTCATTCTGTCCATGATATGAAAAAAGCTGTGATGGCAACGCTGGATCATTATTGTTCAACTGATGAATCTCCTTGTCACGAGAATTGTCCGACAGACACAGACAGCTGGTGTGAATGGCGCAAAGCCGAAGCTACGGATCGTCTTGCATCCTTCAAACATTCTGCTCGATTGATTGACGAAAAAGTGGAGGAACATATTCGTCCAATCTACGAAGAACTTTCGAATGACGATCTCATGACGCGATGCTTAGGTGGACACACGCAAAATTCGAACGAATCGTTCAACTCCACTGTCTGGCGCATAACTCCGAAACATCTCAATTCTGGTCAAAAAATCGTAGAAATTGCTGCGTATATGGCTGCAGGAATGTTCAATGAAGGATATTCAGCAGTTCTACAGACCATGCAATTACTCAATTTGAAAATTGGCCAGCAATGTAAAATGTTTGCGGATAATGTCGACATACAACGGATTGAACGAGAAAGGCGACGTTCGTCTCTTTCCAGTAAGGAAGCTCGTACGGCCCGTAAACTTGAACAACTTCAACAAAATGAGTTCCATGAGGAAGCTGAAGGTCTTTTGTATGGCGCAGGAATAGCTCATTAGCGAATTATTGCCGTAAGTAGTCGAAAATTAACATTTTCCAGTTCATAAACTTCAAAGCGCTTTTTCTCGAGTTTTCGTTTTTCCACTTTTTCTAAACTAGCGGGCGTGTTTGCAAAAAAAATAAATAAGCTATCGTAACGATCCGAAGTTTTTTAGCTTCAGTTTTCTCTACTCTTCTATATGAACCAAGAAGGTTTCTGGAAATAAATTTCTAAAAGACTTTTTCAGCACATTGAAGAGATTATTTTTCTCGTAAAAAGCACTTTTTGCTTCAAATTCGGAAAAAATTTCAAATTTCACAATTTCTTCGGATTTTTCTTGGTTCAAATAGAAAATACATGTATGAAAATGAAATATTTTTTTGGCTTTCTGTTTCAGATTAAAATTAAGAGCTCTATCACTCCCGCCAATAGAAGACTCGGATTACGGATTGCCCAGCAAATGTGTCTAATAATCGGCTGCATTTTGATATTTTTCTTTAAAAAAATATTTTTATAATGTTCAATTATATACTAAAATATTCCTGAAAGTTCGCTGGAGTTGGTTATTTTTTTCTATCTTAAAAAAATTCCCTAAAAGACGGTTTTTTAGGCCTTCCAAAGCAGGATACCCCCTTAAGGTACAGCTTTTTTTTTAATTTAAAAAAAAATGACCCGCTACGATTTTTTTCAGAATTTTGCAGCGTTTTAAAAGTTGTATTGAAAAAACACGTTTTTTTAGGAAAAATTTAATAATTTCGATCTACTTTACGATTGAAACAGTGGCGTAGAATGACTCGACTTCGTAAATTGAAATCTCAGGTTCAAAATGCCATATGCACGGGTTGGAATGTTATTTCTTGATTGGTCCTGATTAAATAGAAATAAAAAACTCGTATTCGAGCGAAACGAATATTACCGTCGACTTTCGCGTTATCCAATAAACACCACGAGGAGGTAATCGATCGGGTTGAGCTTATCATATGTGTGTGTACGTGTGTGTGTGAGGGTGTATCCATGTGGAGTGTATGCGTATGCATGTACGTGTACGTGTACGTATGTGAGGGGGACCCTTAAGAGGGCCGATAACAATAATTGTACAGAAAGTTCTTAATATTTTGTGTTGTCCACCTGTGTACCACCTCAGTATCGAATAACCTCAATTAATCTTGCAGACTCTGATCTCGGATTCAGATCTAGCGGGTATATTATTTTAAATAAATATATAAATAAATAAATAGATATATATATAAATAAACATATTTCTGGTCTTTAGAATAAATTATATTGATTTTGAAATTTCAGTCCAATTAATGCATTCATTGTAACTCAATGATTAATTTTTTTTCACGTGATTTACGGGAATGTTAAGCATTTCTAAGTTTTCATATACAGTTCATTTACTCTTCAGTCTCTTCTATCATATACAACGAAAACATAACAACTGAATAAAATAAGAAATCAATAATTCAAATTAATCTCATGATTTAATTAAGTAAATATCAGTGAAGTCAGTTCATTCATATTCAAAAAATACCTCAGGAATAACTACATAACTAAATCTAGTGTCTCTTAGACTTGCTAGTTCTCTTATTAAAATACAAAAGTGTATTTAAAATGTCTATTCAAAGATTGATTACTTTGAAATTGTTCAAATCACTAAGATAAACATTACTTCCCTTGACATTTAAATAAGCAAAAATAGACTTCAATTATATTATTATCATTTCCCACATTATTTGCAAGATTGTCCGCAAGATGAAATATACAACAAAGAAACAATTGCTCCTGTTTGTTTAAACTTGATGCTCTTTGCTAAGTACTGGTGATTTGTTGACTGTTGAACAGTGAGCAGTGCTCTAATATGTCAACACATCAACTTAGCGTGGCGGGATCGCTGCGGGTAACCCTGGACGTAGTAGTGCGGGCAGCGATAAGTGCGTAGCGAGTGCTCTCCGAGGGCATGCAGTACAGCGATACCGGACGGTCGGAGACGCAAGCTCACGTTGCCGTTGGTATGGTTGCGGGGGAGAAACCGCGCGGAATATGCCTTAAGGCAGAACTGCACCATTCAGCGCCTGTAAACTTTGCGCCGCCGCTGGGTTTTGCGAATGCAAAATGAAATCGTGAAGGCGCATCAATCGATGAATTTCTATCGACAGGAGCCATTGATATGACAGCGCGCGGTAAATTTGATTTGGCCGATGCGAGTAGCCCCAGCGGCACCTAGAACGCGTGGTAGCATGACTCAGGGTGAGCAGAATGATTCAATGGGAAATGCGATGGCGTACGGTTCCAGGAATACCAGCACGCCGGTTCATGGAGAAAATGACGATAGATTTAAAATACAGGCCACCCGGAGTGGCTAGCCGTAAATGTGAATGCGAACGTGTAGCGGCGGTCGATAATGTCGTGGTGAGAGCACAAAAATATAAACGTGAAATTGAAAAGCCGCATAAGTCAGATATCGATGAGGTAGATTACAACTCGGTGCTCGACGACAACGAAACGTGGCGAGATGATTTCTCAGAGAACAGTCGCGTGGGAAAACTAAAGGCACGATATATTGACTGACGATCGGCAGATGCGGTGACAGCATTAAAGAGCTAGTCAGTAGTATTTTGGGGCAGCGTATCATATATGATACACCTAAATTTTTTCAGTTATTTATCCATACCGCGACCGTTTTGAGCTCAATCGCTCTCAAATTAATTTCTATACCGTCATTAATACTTAGGCTTCGTAAAGCTTTGATTACAAATTGGAAAATTTATCTATTCAATTATATATAAACAATCAAAGACGGAAAATGTTCAGTTTTTTCGAATAAATTCGGTCTTGGACAGATTTTTCAAAATAATTATATGAAAATTTGTATAAAAAGGCTTTTAAAGGCGCTAATAACGAATCCGGTATCATAATTTGAAAAATCCCCCAATATCCTAATATCCAGTATGGCGGCTATTTTAGGTTAGAATTGCGGTTTTCTGAGTATTTCGCTTGAAAGATAATATAAGGGTATTTATAAACTTGTTCATTACGAATATGAATTCGGAACTCAAAAATTAAAAATAGCGGACCTACATGGTAACTAATTTCGGTTATAACAAAAACCCAAGTATATAAATTTTAATTCATATACTTCAGTTTAAAAATTACGTCCGTTATATTGGATCCGCCATTTTTAATTTTGAAAATCAGACTTCAGATTCATAATCAGCGACCTCGAAAAGCTTTATATACACTCTCAGATTCAGGATAAGTGCAGCAGAAAAAAGTGCTCATGAAACGGTTAAACGATTGCACGACGTGCAATCTTTTTATGGATTTTGCGATGTGTAAATGCTGTCGGCGTTGATGACTATATTCATTAGCTCAGAAAAAATGCTCTAGTGAGCAACAAACCACCCAAGCTGACATACTTTGCGTGAATTTAGGGATGAATTTCTACGATAACTTTGCCCGCGACGATCAGGCAAAGATGTCTACGACACGCTTCGCCGCCATACGACCAGACGTTAGGCCAGTACTTTACGGCCTTTTTATAATCGCAGGCAGATTGGAACCCAAACTCTCGAAGAGTAGGCAGCTTGAGTTAATCAAGCTGAATCTGAACCCGAAATTGCGCAAATTCATCAGGACAAAAAGATCGGAAGGCTAGCAAAGCTTCGCGATTGGGACGAGAAATTTGAACGTCAGTGCGGTATTGATAATTTGATTGATACTCCCGCCAATATCGCAAAAATCACTGATACCGGAGGTTACGTCCCGGGGAGGTGCGCCGAAAGAAACCGCGAATACAGGGGAAAAAAACGAGAATTTCATGGTAAGAGGGACCATTGCGTCGGTGCAAGGTGTGGGTAGGAAAGGGCGGCATGTAAAAACGGCCAGGTCGAAAACGAAAACGACTAATATTATTCAGGGGTCGAGCGAAGAAAGCCCGACACAGTGGGAGACTTCGAGGTCAGCGGATTCATTATCGAAGCATATGGTAGCCGCATTGTCGCAGCTACTGCTCTCGTAGAATGGTGCGTTAACTGGAAGCACCGGCTCTGCAACGAGTAACGTAGCAAGCCGTGCAGTATTCCAGGGCGTATATCATAGATGCGGAGGTTGAGGGAATTGAAAATTTGAGTGCCCAAGCTCGGACGATGTGTGAGTCATGCAGGGAAGTGCAGATGCTTCGGCAACTGCACAGGCAAGTAGTAGCGCAGGCCCTAGCCAAACTACGAGGCGGAGCGAAGGCAGAGACCTAGTGCGCTGTTACAAATGCCAGCAACCAGGCTACTTTCCAAATAGTTATACCCTGGGAGACCAGAGGGCACGAAAATGTCAGGGCTACAGAAAGAAGGACAGACCGTTGGAAACGTATCTAGATCAAGTCGTTTGAAAATTCCAACGCGGGATCCAAATGCTTAACGGGTTCCGCTTAGTGTTTCAGAGTAGGACGCCTTATCAGGGTGAAAGCGCATTTGTAAGACTATTGTATAGTAAATACGCGAAAAATCGGAGATATGCAGGAACGCGACAAAATAAGCGACGGGGAGATATAGGCACGAGCGACGCTTAAGCTACGGCGCCAACACTTTGTGGGTGCGCAGTGCACGAGATTGACCGTTTGAGGAAAAGGTCAAATTCAATGAACGATGGTTGAGGTTGCGCGAGGTTAACTTTGATGCGAGTAGGTGGAAAGCAAGCGCAAGACAGGTGAGAGGAAGATTGCGCGGAAACCTGCGGTAAACTAAAGGAATGTCCAAGAGTATCCGGGGGTTAGGTGTGGGTCGATTGGGAAGGATTTGACGGGAGCGTCACGAGCAGGTACGGGTGGCGGAAGCTTGTGTGTAACTACAGAGTAGCACTGGAAAAGATGCGGCGTGCACGCTACAAACATCGGAGCGAGCTCAGACAACGAGATTGGTGCAGCAGTTCATGACTCCAAAGTTAAACGACTTTGGCGTTGTAGACGAGACGTCGTCGCGATCCGTTACCTTGTTCAGGGAGTGCATGGTACTGAGCAGCGCG